ACCTCAGCTTAGTGTCTCCTTTTAGCAATATACAAAACAATATAGCTGTACTTAGTGCAGAATTTTAAACATACATCCTGCAGTGTTTTGTGTGGAGGGGAATCCAAATGAAGCATAGTAGTTGGAAGAAAAGGTTCCCCATGCAGTTTAACAGACATCACAAGAAATAAATGGTTAGCAATGGAGCTGATAAACTGCTTCTGTACAGGTGTGATGTATTTAATACAAACGGTAATAATTCAAGAGTTGCTTCATATCCCATAATTTCTCCCTGCAAAAATATACACAATTACTTTGAACACAGCTGGGAATTTTCCTCCCCTACAGGTGAAACAGCTGCAGAATTGCTGTGTTGCATTTTATCATTTGAACATCTGGTTCCTTAGTTTGGAATCCAATGCTGTAATTGACCTCAAGGTGTATCTGGTCATTGCGGCTTCTCTGGCTGGTCTGTCCAAACAGTGCATCTTTCTTACTGATATGCAACTACATCGGAGACCTTATCAGAGAACAGGCCAGAACACCCATCCACATTAATCACATGACATTACAAAACTAGACTGGCTCTGTTGTTCTTAGCAACAATGTTGTATGCAGGATTTATGCCCTTCTTGCAACATGCAACTGTGGATTGGATTTTCAAAACTATTAGAGGAACCAGCTGAATGTATATATAGCCTGATAGGAGACTGAAGCTCTCCAGCTTGGAACTGGAAGTCACCCTATTGATGTGTCATTGAAAGCAGCATCACCGTTCAAGTGAAAGTGGATGGAATAAGACCTGTAGAGGGTCGATTGGATTTTTTCCTCATCTAAATGGTCTGCATAAGATAAACTTGGAAAACCACTGCTTTAATGTTGTAGTCCTCAACTAATGAATTATACACAATTGTACACACAAATAATTGTATTTGTTTATTTCCTGAAAACATAATTAGTTACTAGAACTGTGTTAACGTCAAACTGCAGTTTTGCTAAATATATGATTGAGTGCATCAATAATAAAGCAACGTATCAAGTGACATCTTGATGTCAAGACACAGCATTTGCAAACATTAATACCTTCATTTTTATTTTATAAAAAGTATGGCTTTGTACAACTCGAGTTGATCCACATAAACAAAGGTTGCTCATATGATTTAAAATTATAATCTGGTAAATAAACAATCCCAATAGTAGCAGAAGCAATGCTGTGAATAACACTTCACAAATTAAAAGGATAATCCCACTTGTTTATTTCTCTGCCAAAAAGTAAATTTTCCCTAATTTTATTGTCTTTAGAAAAGGTCACATGCCCATAATTGTTAACAGTCCAATCAGAAAGGAACAATTCTAATTTAAAGTGGTATGGGCCAGGGAAAGCAAACAAAACAAAGAATACTGTCAGATATTTTAGACAATCCACATGGGAACTGTTCATCAATCAACTCATTTTCATTTGTTTGAATAACTGAATAATCATTGCACATTAGTTTAAACAAATGATTTAACGTATGTTTAAAACAGCCTTGGAATGATTGTTAAATTGACACTGAAGCAAAGAAAAATGCTTGTATAAAAATACAGAAAGCACAATGAAAACAAAAATGTCCAAAGTGATGTTTTTTTTAAAAACGTACTGAAACTTAATAAACTCTTTGCTAATGGACAGCTTATTCATATTAATTCTGTTATAAGATATGCATTTTAAAAAAAAAACTAACAAGACAATTACCCACAACTCAATCATCACCATAATCTTTATAATGCTTCTTCTGATCCTTTACCATTAGGCTTCCCATAGATCTGGAATGCCCTTCCCAGGCATGCACATATACTTAAATTATGTGTTACACACAACAATTTGAATTGAGAAACACACTGTTTTAAGCTGTTCTACATCGGTTGTTGAAGAGTTCTTCTATAACTGCCCCATCTGCAAGAGTTGATGTATCTCCAAGCTCTCTCTCATTTCGGGCAATCTGCCTCAGAATGCGTCTCATAATTTTACCTTTAAAGGGAGGAAGTCAAAATCTCAATACAAAATATTTAAACATATTTAATTTTGGATAAATGTATTTACACGATATACTGTACCAGAACGAGTTTTGGGCAACCCAGGAGCATTTTGTACATAGTCAGGAGCAGCAATGGGTCCTATTTTTACTCGAACTGCAATATTCAAAAGTAAAATTGTTAATGGGAATTGATTTTTCAAAACCTGCAAGCATAGTTAAAGATAGAAAATTCCCTTGATTCATTGAATAAGTTCAGACAATATAGTGTGATCTTATACAGAGCAAGATTATAGTAAGAATTTGTGAAAAGTAGTCGAGGTAATATTTCGGGTCCGGTGACCCTTCCTCAGAACTGATGGTAGCTAGGAAAATGTTGGTTTCTTTGCACAAGATAGGGTTGGGGGAGGGGGTAAGGAGTAAACGATAGGTGGGGATACAGCCCGCACTTCTATCCCCACCTATCATTAAATACTTACCCATCCCCTACCCTATCATCTGTATCTATACCAAATTTTCCTAGCTACAGTCAGTACAGTGTGGAGTTGGAAGAACACAGCAGGTCAGGCAGCATCAGAGGAGCAGGAAAGTCAACGTTTCGGGTCGGGTCCATTCTACCATCAGTTCTGAGGAACGGTCACCGGACCCAAAACATTAGCTCTGATTTCTCCTGATTTCTGTTCACAGATACTGCCAGCCGGCTGAGCTTTTCCAGCAACTTCTGCTTTGTTTCTGATTTACAGCATCCACAGTTCTTTCCGTTTTTATTATAGTGTGAATGTAGCCTGCAGACAGAAAACCAGCAATTGAGCAAGACATTTTGCTCAGTGATTTGGTAATGCCTAATTTTTGAAAAAGAATCTCCAGAATGGAGATAAACTTACACAAATTCATTAGATTCATTGAAATCATGAAGGTAATCCTAGTTATAGGAGGCAGGCTTCATAATGCCAGCCAGAAGAAAACACAAGGAAGAGTTCTAAAACCTTGGTCTTAACACCCCAACCTGACATTTATTCTATTTACACTTCGAGGCAGTATTATGTCATGTGGTTCTCAGTTCAAAATAATAACACTTGTACGTTGAAATGCTGGAGCTTCATCAAACACATTTCTCAAATCACACCATATATTATGGACTTTGAGGTCAAAATCCTGAAATTCCCTCCTGAAGAAGAGTGTGGGTCTACCTACAACACATGGACTGCAGTTGTTCAAGAAGGCAGCTCACCACCACCTTCTCAAGTGCAACTAGGGACACGCAGGAAATGCTGGCCAGCCAGCAATGCCCACATCCCACGAGTGAATAATATATAAAAAAAATTTAAAAGGGTCATACTTTGCTAGTTTGATACCCAGACTGTAGCACAATAAATAGTTATGTGGCACTCTGGATACTTAATAGATGCGTGAACATATAATTTTAAATCATATTGGAATAATTATAAACAGGTTTAGTTAATGAAGCCAGTTAAGGACAGGTGACCATATAATGGGTTGAGGTATTTCATCAGAAAAAAGAGATCCTGTTATTCCTGCTGCTATAGAACAGTCCAGGATATTCTGCAATGTTAGATCACAGGATACACTAGGAACTTGTTCATTTCATAACAATAAATCTGCATCTTCTGTCACAGACCAATTTCTAAGCAATACTCCCTGAACCTGAGTTTGAAGTATGAACAGAGAAGCTGACAGGACTGAAGTGGCAAGACACTGGTATGTCTTTGGCATTGGCGAGGATGTACAAGTACATCTCCTGCCAGCTTCTTGGACTGGGACTAGTGTGTGCAGAAGGATCTAGATTTCTAATCTTTTCTAAAAGATCTGTTATACGTATTCAATGCAAATGTCCCACTCTTTTCCACAGGACAA